ATAGATGGGAAGATAAAGATGGGTAACCGAAGTCTTAGCATCTTGATATGAAGTTTAGTGGGATACAAGATAAAATAATAAGATCTTGTCTTGCTAAAAATAGATTTTGGTTTTAATATATCTAAAAAATGGACTATCCAATGAAATCTCATTCAAGATTGATATGGATAGAATCCTTTTAAAGTATAGAAGTTGATGCATATTCCTCATATCAGATAATTAAGTATCCAAGTTGATGGTATGATAGATTACTTACATGGTATTCATGAGCTGGTCAATAGTAGCAATGCCAAATACAAAGCTCTAACTAATACTCATTATAAAAAAGTGGTATTTGAGGTTGTTAATCTAGTTTTGACAATGCTTATTCATGATAGGTTTCTATTAAGGGAGTACAACAAGATAAAGAAAAAAAGAATAAGTTCTTGTAAGGTATTGAAAAAGATAAATAACAATGCTTACAAACTTCACTTTTTTATTTATCCGAAGACTTTTAATATCTTTGATATCCAATACTTAATATCTTATCAATAATCTTTTTAATCATGGAAGAATAATGCAGTCGGGCTTGTGAAAACTAAAGATTATATTAGATTAACACCTTGCAATAACAGGAAATTTGATGTTGGATCGGGTTTATATTTTTACAAGTTATTATTTTACAAACAAATTTTATGAAAAGTTACTGTATTACTTATCAATTTATTGGATCTTCTAAGATTATGATTTAGGCTTGAATGAAACTGTTTGGGTAAAAAAAAAGAGTTTTCCTATGTTTTTTTGGTTTTATTGTTTTATTTGAAATTTTTCAGTTTCATTTACACTTTTAAATTTTTAGTTGTTTCATAGTAGAAGTAGGACACAGTTTTCTGTTAATGATGATCAGCTTGGTGATACTAATAAAGAAGACAATCCACCTCTAAATGCACGCGCCTATGTACCCAGAGATCACAGTAGGTGCGGTTTTGGTACACCTCACGTTTGACCTAGTCAAATGATGAATACATGGAGGTTTTCACCTTTTTTTATCCATGGTTTTAGCCTTTGCGGATTGCTAATTATTTCTGTGTCTTTTGCTGGTTTTGGTTGCTTCCTTTGACCATGTTCTTGTTTTATCGTCGAATATTTCATTCCTGAATTGAATTAAATAGTTAAATTTGCGGTGGATGCCTCACTTGCAACCCATTTAAGCTTCACACTTTTATTGAATCTTTCATACCTTTCCAATCATTTTTCTTTATCGAATTTTTTCCGCATTGTTATACATATAAATGAGTCACATTTCTCTAATAACTTATTACCGTATTGATTTTAAATTTTATTCAAAAAAATAACTCTTATGATAAGCAATCTATTTTTAATCTCTTTATATTATTTTTTATATTTTTCTAATTGTATAGTGTCCGATAATTTCCTTTAACCATCAGGTCTACTCTTTTGAGTTGAAAATCGAAATAATGTGGAAATGTGTAATTGAACCTTGTTGTAGTCTATATATACGGCTACTTGATTAATCCATGGATGATCCAAAATGCCTTTCGAATTCTGTGTGCTTGGTGTCTCATATAGGCTGTTTCACGTTTATATACACACCCCCTCCTTCATTATCGTGCACACGAGCTGCCTGAACCTCTCCATCTTCACTACCACCCTTGTGTCTTCCTAACTAGCTAACTCCATACACATACCGAAGCATTTTGTTTCTTAGAAGTCCCAGCTTTTTTATCGTGTCATAAATGGATTCTGAAAGAAAATATAATCAATACTTGACAATAATACTCTTTGTTACCATTATTTTTGTATCATGTTCCAACCCAATAATGGCAGCGAGTTCATTAGGGAGTGATGATCATCAGCTTGGAGATAATCCACACCAATATATGCCCCGTAATCCAGGCAAGGAGCATTATAATCCATGCCGATATGTGCCCGGAAGTCTTAGTAGATGCAGAGGTGGTGGACCTCGACTTTGACGTGGTAAAATGATGAATGAGTAATCCAGGGAGGTTTTCTCTTATACTTACCAAAAACTAGCCTGCAAGGCATGTCAACCCCTAAAGTTTCGCTTTTTTTACCCATGGTTTTAGCCTTCCAGGAATGCTAATTATTTCTGTGCCTTTTGCTGGTTTGAGTGTTACTTGTTAATTTTGATCATATGCTCTTGTTTTAGTGGTGTAATATATATTGCAGAGCTGTTTGAGTAAATTTCTATTTGGATGTTGTAATTTCTTGAACATACATGTACCAGTCCAAGTATTCCTCAAACAGCTCTGCAAAATCAATCATTACTGTTTCATGTCCAAAACGCTGAATGTGCATCGCTTCACTAGGCAAAATCAATCTTAGATGGTCTCTTTATTTATTTTTTGTAGCAGATCATTTTTTTTTCTTTCTATATTTGTTCTTTTTTTCTTCTTTTTTTGTCTTGTTCCTATATTTTGATTTAGCTATTAATTTAATAGCCTTTCTAATATACCCTCAATAATTATCAAAAAAACAAAAACCTTCTCGTAATAAATTATGGCATTTTGGATTCAGCCAAAGCCAATAACTCAGTCTGCTAAAGATGTAGTATAAATGATAATGAATTTATTGGATGATGTACATAAGTTCCGGTACATCAAAATACACTTCAGCAAATTACTTTATATATGATACATCAAATTGAGCAACAGGATGCGTCTAGAATTGTTTCTTGCCGACTTACATGTATCCTACTATATTTATTTATTTATTTGTCTGTGGCAAAACCAAAGATTGGGTCAGTTAACAGGGGCGGAGCCAAGACATTAATTAGGTTTAGCAGGGCCACATTAGGAACAATGATTTTCCCTCCTCAGTTACTTCTTGTTAATGATTCGAAGAGATTAATTTAATTTGCCTCTAATTTGTTTCTCTTATCTTTTATTTAAGTTAGTTCTATGTCTTTGGAAAAACAAAAATCTTTTGTTATTAACAATGATAATTAACAAATGATGGAGATGAGCAGTTTCAGTGGCATCCTTGAAATGAAGAAATAATAGAGAAAGGGGGTGGTTAACAGACGATTATCCATAATATTCTATATATAACTTAAGGCTGAAAGAAGAAGGATATCATCATCATCAACAACAACAACAAATCAACCATAACAGTTGCTTTGCAATTGAAATAAGTTTATAGGATCTTCAAAACCTGTTTATCAGTATATTTTCAAAAAAATTCTTGTAAAGATACGGAAAGCCAAGGCTCTTACTTGAGTTCCCCTCTTCGGCCATCCGCTTCTTCCTTCAAATTCCCCGGTCTGAGAACAAGCCCTTCTAGCAAAGATTGGGCAAGGAAATCAAAGCTTTCAAGCTAACAAGCGACTTAACAGATAAACTAATGAAAGAAAAGAATTGAAAAGACAGAAAGGAAAGAGTTTCTTGAAGCCCTCCTACCTTCCTCTGTGATATAGGGCTTACATCTCCGGGAAGACAGATCATATAAGGCCTTACCTACGCTCCAACAACATCCTTTAACTTCAGCTTTAGAGCCGGTTTGTTTTGCAAATATCCTCGCCACTTATTCCTCTCCTTCTTCCCTGAATACAGAGTCTATCCTGTTTGTATTATTTACTAAGCCCAAAATCCGCTGTCGTGGTAAATACTTGCGTTTAGAACAAAGGTCATTAAGGTTTATCAGCTTGGCCCAAAAATAAAGAACGGTGCTCTCGTATAATCCTTTCATGTTTTCTTTTATGACCTGAAATTTGGATTCAGATCCTTCCCCTGTATTTTAGATAAATCTCGAACAGACGTATTATCAACTCAATGCACTACTAATTGAAATGGAACTCTTGAGCTCAGCCGATGATGGCCTACAAAGGGAGGGAAGGGAAGGGGATTCTTTCCTACTGTTGAACCCTGAAGGTAGGGCTTAAACCATATATATATCCATGCATGTTCTTATCACATCCTCCAATTGCAATTGTGCCACCTCTGCAGTTTATCCGTGCTATATTTTCCGAATTTAGTTATATATGGGATAAGTTTTTTTCCAATACTTTTAGTTTTTAAATACAAGATTATCTCAAGATTTTGTCAAACCTAATTTTTAATTTTTTAGATTGTTATCTATTTCATTGAGATTGAGAGTTGCTTAATCACGTAATTAAGAAATTCACATCACAAACTTCAAAAGAGAGTTTTCAGTATAACCCATGCAAAATTATGGCGTGTAATGATTAACAAAACACTTATAAATATATTATTCAAGCAAAACACAAACCGCACCTATGGTATAAAAACAAACGAATGGCAGCTATGGTATATATCTTCTCCAGTCCCGACCGCATCTCCACATGATATGGTAACTAATAGTTGACAAGAAAATATGTATGTATGGATATTGATTTTTAGGTCCAACTAACAGAAGCACGTTTGCATATGCTAACGTTGCTCTGGTGTTTGATCTTGTTCGTGGACTTTGAATACAAAGAGAGAGGTTTTCAAGGGAATTACTAACGGACTTGTATGTAGTGTTCCTCTTGAATGTTCTCGAGTCTTGACAACGATATTGGGTTGCTAGCATTTTCATGTTAGGCACGCTACATTGTTTTGTTTACTGGTATACTCTTCCAAACTGGCAACTGCAGCTGAAAATTTATCCTAATCAAAGAATTGAGATTTGAAGCTTCTAACCATTTCCTGCTGTGATTTTGATGATTGTACCGCATCCCTAGTTTCTACTTCGGATGGAGCATTTAGCAAGCCTGAAGCTTTCCGACGGTGAAATTGTACCACCTATTTACAATTACATATAATTTGACTGCAGCATGATAATTAGGCCAAACTCATTAAATTAGTTACTGGGAGTGTGTGTTTGGCATTAGTTTTTTAAAAATATATTTTATTTTATTTTATTTGAAAATACATTAAAAAATTATTTTTAAAATAAACACATTAAAATTATCATAAAACACTAAAAAAAATATTAATTTAATATTTTTCAAACCAAAAATACATTTTAAAAACACGCAGTACAGAACAGGCACTTAACTAAAGCAGTGATCGTATTTGTGTACTCACTGAATATTGATTGAGATTATCATGTATCAGGAGCAGTGAAAATACATGAAGTGCATGCAAAATTGTGACAAACTCCTGCTTAAACAACTCGTTTCCCCTTACTAATTGCAGCGGCTCCATAAGTGGTTCTGTGGAATCTGAAAACAAGCTTTTTCCTCAACAAGAACAAATATCAAACCCAAGCACATGCGTTCTCGCGAAGCATATATCAAATCCCAACTGTCGATGAGATGCTAGATCTGAAGAACACCAGTACATATCGCTGGATGCCAGAATATGTGGCTTCAATTCAAGCACATTTTTTGACTTATGTACCATGTTTTTTCATACAAGGGGAACGAGTTTCGCATCCTCACCATGAGCACTATCATGGCTAAACCACAGTGTAAGTGCAAGCCTCTCCCCTTCAGTTATCAGTGAAAGAAAATTGATAAATCATAGTAGAAAACAATGAAAAAAAAAAACAAGTAGCTGAGACTTCACCTAGCATAAAATTGGTAGGAGAAGGGAAGATTACAGAAAAACTTAACGAGTTCATGAACGGTAAATACATATTGGTCACAATATAAACTCTACATGAATAGAAATGCAGCGAGATGCAGAGCTAATTGCATATGCCGTTGGAAAATGATTCACAGATGGAAGAAATAACAGGATTAGCAACATAGAGTGTTCAACAATGACCACCCACCACAGCACTTGAATTGTTTGAATTCATTCCCAACTCAACATCCAAGCAAACATCAAAAAATATGAGAAGCAGAAGCAAAAAAATAGAGCAGTGAAAGCAAGCACGGCCACTATGGACTATGGACAACGGACAGAACAGATTCTGAATTGACTTGGTTTTACAGATATTTGCGAAGAGGCCTTGGGTGTGATTTTCGAGGATTATATATGAAGAAGGAAGAAGAAATCAACAACTACAACCGCAATCTTCAAAGTCAACATGACTTTAACCTGTAACATTTCCACACACTTTCGATATTATGATTTACGTTTACAAGGGAAACTGTAATTTTCCATTTTCACATTGTTTGATGCATCTGTTCCACTATCTTCTTCAAACTTGACAAGGAAAAAATACTACAAGCATATTTCCAAGGATTGACTAACAAGCATGTATAAGCAAATGAACATTAGCTTTTTCTTCTCCAGAATGACTACACTGAAAAAGGCAATTGGCTCCAAAAAATGGCAGGTGTTCACAGTATTAGAAGACTCGAACTTGATATGCAAACTTCATAACCTTAGTCTAGGAAGCAGTTCAACTTACTTCACAGCTTCTATTTAAGTCGATCAGATCTTGGATTTATGACCCTAAGAATGCATCAACCTTGCTATTTGTTCCCCTTGACAAAAACTTCATGCAAATAGGTGGTTTTACACCTGCTAAAACAAGTATTGAACTAGGCAAAGTCCATATCCCATCCCCACAAATCAAACCAGAAGCCACTGCTGGCCCAAAAGCATCTGCCTTTGCCTTGTCAATCTTTTCCCAGATAAATAGAATCAAGCTTCCCACACACATGTCGATGGCAAAGTATGAGCCAATATAGAAAGGTATAGCCATTGCCATTGGATTGGGAATGAACCTAGCCCATTTCTTACCCAATGCATCCTTGATCAAATTTATCAGAATTGCTGCAACAAAGAAACCATAACAAAGATACAGGCAATTCTTTGGTAGAGCCGAGAAGCCTTCTACCCCCAATATAGCCATGTTTCGATACACAGTAGCATAAGGAGCAGGGTATTGACTTCCAGTAGTCCCAAGATCCTTGAAGGCCTTGAAAAAGAGCCAAAAGACGCTAGGGGAAATTATGCAACCCATTGCAGTGCCAATTAGTTGGCTCACAAACATAGACCGTGGTGAGGACAAGGTTAGATAACCAGTCTTGAAATCTTGAGAGAGGTCAGAAGCCGTGGAGACTATATTCATCATGACTCCACAGGCAGCTAGACCTGCTAGAACTCCACCATGTGAGGCACCAGCCCATGCCCCAATTACAAAAATAGCAAGCTTCCCATAGGTGGATGCAAGGGACCAATCAGTGAGGCCACATCCATAAGCATTACAAAATGCCAGGGTTGGGGCAAAGATGTAGATGACCAGTATGTAATACCATTTGAGTTCATGAAAAATATGTGGAAGTGTGATGGTAGAGATGGCAGCAATTGTGACATAGCCTGCAATAGAAAACCATGTTGGGATTTGATCTTTCAGAAACAGTCGGGTTCGTTGTTGCTCATCATAGGAGATCTTGGAGCTCTCAGGAGAGGAACGGTCAGCAATTGGGAGATTACTGGTTGCATTTCTCACTCGAAGTTGAAAAAACAAGGCAGCAAGCGTTCGGCTTAGCACCTTGAAGAAGTTGTACAGACCATCACCCAATATCAAGGCAATGGCAATAAATACCTGGTTCATCACATAAAGTGTTGGTATGTACAAAGCCTTCAAGAAGTAGGTTAAAACATGGCACTCTTGTCATCTTAACCTTATTAGACACTTACCTTGTAACCTTGGAGGCCATGTAGGCTGGATGCTTTGAGGTCTGCTGGATACCAATCACCCTTTTTTGTATCTATCAAAGGCCACATGAGACCCCACGAAATAATTCCTCCAAGCAATACAGATACGTTTATGATGTATGGGCAAATCATTCCAACTCCAACATATGTTGCTGAGAAATCAAAGAAGAATCTGTACATATAGCAAGAACAATATTATTAAAAGAAACCACAACTAATCTGAAACAAAGCACCCTAATAAATGTATCTACATTCAAAAAGACATGAAAATTTTTGAAAATAATGCATTTACTGGTTTTCATATGCTTTAAGCCCGAGTGAGGGAAAGCTAGCAAATCCACAACCATCTCCTGCAGTATAGAACCATTGAAAGACACCCCACAAGAAGCTGAATGAGAAGAACTTGCCCAAGACCTTCACTTGTCTCCTGCAATGGTAGAAAAAGAAAGTTGGATACTTTCACATGCCAGATGATCATTTCACTATAAGTGCATTAGGTCTGACAATGCCTTACTTTGCTAGCTTGGCTCCTGCAGGAGTGTGAAAGCTGTTGATGAGATAAGCAGTCGCAGTGCCACTTGGATATGTCAATTTGAAGTCAACAATCATGACCTACAAGCAACCCAGGTAACAAAGAATATTAGTTTTTGGCAAAATTAATAAATTCAACAAAACATAAAATGCATAGGAAAGTTTTCAATATCCTATAATCAAATGACAAAGTTGATTGGTAATATATGTTGTAAAGTGTACCTTCCGGAGAGGCACCACTGAAAAGAGTCCAAGAAAGCTGACAACAAACAGAAAGCCGATCATCCAAGAAAGGGATGGATTTTTAAAGGCATCAGTATGTTCTGTTGATTGTTTGGCCACAGCTTCACTCATTCCAAACAGGTAGCTCCCAAAGCCTCCTATTATAAGGAAACAGAATACAAATTATAGAATGGAAACCATTACTTGTATGAAATTCAACAAGCTTAAAATCACCATAAGCGTAATCACAAATTAGCTGTTTCATTACTAAAGTTTCAGGTTCAAAAAAAGTATGGAACACACGCAGCCATGCTTATATTGATAATTAAGATAACAAATTAGAAACGACAGCGTATTCATCTCAACATAAAGTTAATGACTCTCAGTCAACGAACAAGCTCAATAGAGTAAAATCTACACTAAAGGTTTATTTAATAAAGCTCAAGCTCACCACTAGCATTCTAGAAAGAGATCAATTATTCACATTTTCTTTCTTTTATTACTAACGGAGAAGTCTTCTTTTTTCCATCTAATACAACTTTGAACTTTGTAAGTCATCCAAATCCGGCTCATATACATTGAATTGTAAACCAATTATCTTCTCTGGTGAGAATGGGGACCAAAAAGGTTGCGTGCCTTTACTACCGGCCGCACTTTATGCTTGGCGGAGCACTCGAAACGTAAGAAAAAACTAGAAGAAATAATAAAAAGTCGACAAAACAACCACCCCCCACCCACCACCCAA